GGGCCCAGGCCCAGAGTTCAGACCCCTCAACCGACAAAAAGAAAAGAAAAGAAAAAAATGTGTGTGTGTGTGTGTTATCACCTGGTGGTAGGTAGCACCTGCAACTGGAAAGTGGCAAGTGGCTTTGTGAATACTCAGTCTATCAAGTTCAATTACTCTAAATCGAAATTTTGCAAAATAGAAATCTTAGCAAAAAGTGTTACTATTTCTGTCAGTTTCAGTCAGTAACAATTGTGTATGCACATACGCAAGCACTTTGGTGCTGTGGTCCCAGGGCTTGAACTCAGAACTTGGGCACTGTCCCTGAGCTTTTTTGCTCAAGGATGGCAGTGATTACTTGAGTCAGAGTTCCACTTCTGGCTTTTCGCTGATTAATTGGAGATGAGTCTCAAGGACTTCCTGTCCATTCTGGCTTCAAATTGTGAGCCTCAAATCTCAGCCTCCCGAGTAGCTAGGATTACAGGTGTGAGCCACCAGAGCAGGACAATATTTTTTTGTGTGCCTGTGCCTGTGCTTTGTGTGTGTGCCTGTGTTGTGTGTGTGTGTACGTGGGCGTGGGAGTGCACATGTGTACATGCGCTCAGGCATGTGTGTATGCGTGTACAAGCCTGTGTGCCAGTGCTGGGGCTTGAACTCACAACTTGAGTTCTAGTTTGGCTTTTTTGCTCAGGCCAGCTTTCAACCTCTATTTTTGTCTCTTTGCTAGTTAACTGGAGAAAAGAGTCTCCCGGCTTTGTCTGCCTGGGCTGGCTTTGCACTGCGATCCTCAGATCTCAGCCTCCTGAGTAGCTAGGATTACAGGCATGAGCCACCGGCGCCCAGCTCAAACAAAACTTTGAAGTATGGTTTTTGTTTAACGTTGACTCTTTTCACATTAACATTCATTACAAATCAGTTCAAAGAAAGTGGTTTTCATTTCTCCCGTAGGTATTCAGGAAGAAGCCAGCAGCTTGGGTCGCTCCCCCATGGCGGAGGCTTGGGGTGCTGTCCAGCGGCTGGCAAACTGTCTTGCTTTGCTTCTAACGGATCAGTATCTTGATTTGATTTGATCTGATTATTTGCTTTGCGTAGGTGTACAAAGGGGTTTCCATTCACCGAGTCCGTTTCTAAGTCCGACGCCTTCAGATCCATGTCACCCTTTCCCTCCTTCTCCCCCGGGCATTCTTTTTAAAAGCATCTTTTACTTTTGTCTGCAGTTCTCTCTGTTTTATCTCTTCCCTTCCGGAGCCCCGGCGCTGGCCTTGCTCATCATTTAATTCCTTCTCCACTTTTTGACCTCACTGCTCCCGGGCTCCCGTCCTCTTTCTGCCCGCTTTGGCCTTTCCTTTTCTCTCCCCTCTCGTCTTCTCCTGCATTGTCCCAGACGCTGTCCTCTGAGGCCCGCGGCCCAGCTTTCCTCTCTCCACGGCTCCAACCCCCCTCCCCGAGTTGCTTATCAGAGTCCTCAATGTCACCATCATAAAGGCGCAGAGAGGGGACCGCGGCCCCTGCCGCTCGGGATCCCACGGGGATCAAAACACCGAAGAGGCCGTGAACCTGCGCAGCCTGGATGGTTTTCCAAGCGGCACGGAGGGTGGCCGGCTCATGCGGGCTGGGCTTTATGAGTCTGTCTGAGGACGGGGATGGATGAGGCGCGCACAGGAGGACTCTGCCCAGGGAGCACCTGCGAGCCTCAGCCCGGTCATCAGCAATGCAGATTTATTGGACCCCTCCCCCAGGGCCTGATGCTGTACTAAATGGTTTCATCCTTCAGGCCCCCAAATCCAGCTTTTTAGCATTGTTTAAAATAAGGTACTGGGGCTGGGAAGGTGGTTCAGGGGTAGAGTGCTTGCCTAGCATGCAAGAAGCCCTGGGTTCAGTTCCTCCATACCACATACACAGAAAAAGCTGGAAATGGTGCTGTGGCTCAAGTAGTAGAGCACTAGCCTTGAGCAAAAGCAGCTCAGGGACAGCGCCTAGGGTCTGAGGTCAAGCCCCAGGACTCGCAAATAAAATAAAGAAGGATACTGTTGGGCTGGGAAGGTGGCTTAGTGGTAGAGCGCTTGTCTTGCATGCCTGAGGCCCTGGATTCGATTCCTCAGCACCACATAAGCAAAAAAGAAAAAAGCCGGAAGTGGCGCTGTGGCTCAAGTGGTAGAGCACTAGCCTTGAGCTGAAGTGCTGAGGGACAGCACCCAGGCCCAGAGTTCAGGCCCCACGACCGGACCCCCCAAAAAATGAAATATGGTACTGTTAGGCTGGGTCTCTCCGGGCCTTTGCTATCCACCCTGTCAGTGTTTACTTCAAGGTTTGTTTTAAAAATCAGCTGCTGCCAAGGCTCCCTGTCGGTTGTCCTGGCTACTCCAGAAGCTGGGCTGTGAGCAGGGAGGTTTGAAGCCAGTCTGCCTAGGAAAGCCCATGAGACACTTATCTCCAATAAACTACGAAGTCAGAAGTGAAGCCGTGGCTCAAGTGGTGGTGCACTAGTCTAGCATGAAAGAAGGCCAAGGGCAGTGCCCAGGCTCTGAGTTCAATTCCCAGGACTGGTGCGCACACACACAATTCAAGACAGAGGGTTTTGCAGTGGTGTTACTTTCTTTTGACTTGCTATCTATCCATTGGTAGATGGCACAGGTGTCCGGTGGGCGTGGCCTCCCCCACACCGGTGTGAGGTCTGAGGCTGGCTGGGCTGTGGGAACGTGGCGTTGTGGGGGGTTTAGGACCCTGCAGCTGGGGCCGTGGCAACCATCTCACGGGCCTTGGAAAGTGACAGGAATGGAGGAGGGAGAAAGGCACACATGACGCTGGAAGTCACATCGTAGTTGACAGAAACCGGATGCCTGCTCTGTGCAGGTCATATTTTTTATTTATGCATTTATTTTTTGGTCAGTGTGGGGCTTGAACTCTGGGCCTAGGCACCGTCCCTGAGCTCTTCAGCTGAAGGCAAGTACTCTACCACTTGAGCCACAGCGCCACTTCTGGGTTTCTGGTAGTTCATTGGAGGTAAGAGTCTCGTGGACTTTACTGAAGTGTGATCCTCAGATCTCAGCCTCCTGAGTATCTAGGATTACAGGGGTGAGCCACTAGCACCCGGCGCTGTGCAGGTCATTTCTAAGATGCTGTGGTCATGGCAGTAAATAAGGTCTATCTGAACTGCCTGTCTTCATGGAGCTTATATTCTAATAGGAGAGACAGCCAGTTTCTTTTCTTTTCTTTTCTCTCTCTCCTTCCTTCCCTCCTTCCTTCCTACTCGCCTTCCTTCCTTCCTGTGCCAATACTGGGGCTTAAACTCAGGAGCTGGGCATTGTCCCGTAGTTTTTTGTTTTTTTTTTGCACAAGGCTGGTGCCCTACTATTTGAGCCATATCTCTACTTCTGGCATTTTGGTAGCTACTTGGAGTTAGAAGTCTCATGGACTTTTTCTGCGTGGGCTGGCTTTGAACCACAATCCTCAGATGTCAGTGTCCTGAGTAGCTGGGATTACAGGCCGTCAACGCCAGTTTACCTATCTATACCTTACCTCTTAGCTTACCTCTGGTTCCTTCCTGTGAGTGGGCTGTCTCGTGACTGTTGTTTCCTTTGGGCAGAAAACAAGGGATTTTATGAAAACCAACACTGAAAATGTTTGCAGTTCGGACAAATATCAGCTAAGAATAAAACGTGGTTAGATGAGTTTTAGAATTATGTGTGGACTAAAGTATTTATATGTTTGAGATTTCAAATAATCACTCATGGGAAGCGAAGTTGTCTCTCTTCATCCCGTCCTTCCTTGTACTTCTGCCCTTCCCCTTGGGGCCTGGCTCCGGGGTCACCTCAACTTGGGCACCCCTTCTTGTCCCCCTGCTTCTGCTCTGTCCTGTTTTCTAAGGCCCCAGAGTTACTGGGAGAAAGCCCAGCTGTGCGCAAGGAGGCGCTAGGTAGCTGGGAGCCTAAGACTTGAGGTGGCGATGCTGAGGAAACCACCAGCTGGCAGGTCCTTAGGGGTTTGGGTTTCTTTTTCTTTTTGTGCAGGAGTGGGACTTGACCTCAGCCCCTGTGCTCTTGCTTGGCTTTTCCAGTCATAGCTGGTGCTCTTCCATTTGAGCCACTGTTTCACTTCTAGTTTTGGGGTGGTCAATTAGAGATAAGAACCCCTCAGGGCTGAGAATGTGGCCTTAGTGGTAGAGTGCTTGCCCAGCATGCAGGAAACCCTAGTTTCGATTCCTCAGCACCACATACACAGAAAAAGCCAGAAATGGCACTGTGGCTCAAGTGGTAGAGTGCCAGCCTGAACAAAAGAAGCTCAGGGACAGTGCCCAGGCCTTGAGTTCAAGCCCCAGGACTTGCAAAAAAAAAAAAAAAAATCCCTCAGATTTGTCTGCCTGGGCTAGTTTCAAATTTTGATCCTTATATCTCGGCCTCCTGAGTAGCTAGGATTACAGGTGTGAGCCACCGGCTCCAGCCTTAAGAGGTTTGTTTGTTTGTTTTGAAACTTGGGCTGTGAGCAAGAGTTCTTGAACTCAGAACTTGGGGTCGGATGCACTCAAACCAGATGAGCCTGTCGGTTCATCTGGAAATGAGCTTCTGGGTCTAGTCCAGTAGGACAGGAGGGGAGATGGGAGTCAGGAGCGTTCTTGACAGCCAGGGGCCAGATTAAGTTAAGGGGCCCTCTGCCCCCCCCCCTCCTCCCACCATGGCCCCGCTGGCCCCGGGGCAGCCGGAATGGCTTTGGCAAGTGGGGCACAAGGGCCGCGCCGGGTGGTGAGTGTGGAGGAGAAGGAAGGTGGTGGGAAGCCAGGGCGTCCTCGGACTCTTTGCCTTCCCACCTTCCCAGAGTGAAATCCACGCCCGTTAACACCTTTCTTCCCCTTCTTGTCTCCCTTGCACCTTTTCCTGGTCCTCACCTGGATGTGCCTTCTGCCTCCCATCCGTCTGTCCTTCCTTCCGTGCTGTCCTCCTGGTCTTCCTGCCACTCCCTGCTCCTGGCCCTGGGCACCTGTGATTGCTCGGAATGGTCCTTCCCTGGCCGTTGGGCGGCTGCAGCAGAGGGGAAGGTGTACAGCTCTGACGAGGAGAAGCTGGAGGCGGCTGCAGGCGACCGGGCCGGCAGCGAGCAGGAGGAGGAGGGCTCAGGCGGCGAGAGCGAGGACGACGGCTTCCTGGACGGTTCTGCCGGAGGCCCAGGGGCCCTTCTGGGACCTAAGCCGAAGCTCAAGGGAAGCCTGGGGCCGGGAGCTGAGGAGGGGGCGCCGGTGGCCCCGGGAGGGGCGGCCCCCGGGGGGAAGAGCCGGCGGCGGCGCACGGCCTTCACCAGCGAGCAGCTGCTGGAGCTGGAGAAGGAGTTCCACTGCAAGAAGTACCTGAGCCTCACGGAGCGCTCGCAGATCGCGCACGCGCTCAAGCTCAGCGAGGTCCAGGTCAAGATCTGGTTCCAGAACCGTCGGGCCAAGTGGAAGCGGATCAAAGCCGGCAATGTGAGCAGCCGATCCGGGGAGCCCGTGAGGAACCCCAAGATCGTGGTGCCCATCCCCGTCCACGTCAACAGGTTTGCGGTGCGCAGCCAGCACCAACAAATGGAGCAGGGAGCCCGACCCTGACTCGGCTCTCGGCAGGGCCTGCTCCCTGGCCACCCCGACACCCGCTGAGCTCTGGGGAGACGGGGCGCCCGACACCCCGAGATGTGGACGCTTCAGCACACAGGGCGTCCAGTTCTCGTGGCGGGGCGGCTGGGACGAAGGCAGACACCCCGGACGGAGCAAGACTATCAGATACCCAGGACCCGAAGGGCTCCTGGCTGGGGCCCTGGAAGCTTCTGAGTCCTGGGCAGTACTAGCCAGGTGGCTCACAGCTCCTTATTTATTTTGTGTAAAGTTTGTATATACGGAGCTACCTGTCTCTCCGAAGAGAGGCCAAGCCCTGTGTCCTCCGTCCTTAACCAGAGCCGGCTGCGTCCGGTTTGTCCTGTGCCCCGGATGTTCGTCAGCACCTGACCCCAGCCCTTTGCTCCCATCTCGTCACTTTCTCCTCCCCTGGGCCACGTGGTCCCCTCTCCCTGTGAGAAGCTTCTCTGCCCTCTCCCCTTTGGAGGAGGTGGTGCCCCTAGGGTGACACACCTGTTCGTATGGAGAGGGAAGGACGTGACCACGGCTTGGCTGTCTTAACTCTCTGCCTGGTGCCCAGCGCGGGGCTCATCTCCCATCTGATCTGGTGGTCAGCAGCTCCGTTGCCTCTGGTGCCCGTGGCTAGCTCAGTGCCCAGGGCAGGCAGCCCCACTTCCAGTCCCCCACTCCCTCACCTGCCTGTGCTTTCTCCTCTTACACCACGCACAGGACACCACGGCCTTGGGTTACAGGAGGGGGATGAGGGGCCACCGCCATGTGAACGGCACAGGCGTGCGGCAAGTGCGGGTGTGCCGTGGACGACACAAGGATTGCTGGAGTCAGGAGCTAGAGCTGAGACCGTGACGCCGCTCATGGCAGCCAGTCCCAGGAGCTAGGTTCTAGAGATCCATCAGCAGACTCGGGGGACAGTGGATCATTATGGAAACCCACTGGGTGGGTAGGGGGTAACCAGCATCTTGGGGTAAAAGCTTGATCTGGGTTGACTCAACAGGGGAGTTGGAATCTGAACTAGAACAGTGCCACGGAGAAGAAAGCAAGCGAGCTGCGGCTAGGAGACTTCAATATTAAGAGCAGGGAAGACAGGAATGCATGGTTCAAATCCATGACGCCTCTGCCTTCCTTAGAAGGTCCAGTTCCTCTGGTGACTCGCTTCCCAGTGGCAGCCTGGCCAAGGTCCCCTTTGCCCAAATGTGTTTAACACCTGCAATAAGACAGAAATGGCCTCTCCTTGGCAGTTCCAGGCAACCAGGAGGTGTGACTGGTCACTAATGGAGCATGTCCAGCTGTCCGGCGAGGAGACAGACCCAGAACATTTGTCTTCATTCCTTGGCTGAATGTCAGCAGGGATGGGGAATTCAGCTGGAGGTACGCAGTCCAGACCTGCCGTTCTCAGCTTCTAAGAAGGCTGAGGTTGGCTCCCCTGCACTCAGCCACAGGGCACCTGTGGGGCGGGCCTTCTAGAAGATAAGCAAGGCAGGAGCTGGAGCAGTCTCTTCATCTTCACAGTGGGTGGCAAGAGCACTGGGCAGGAAGGCTGGGGATGACTGGTCACTGACCAGGCCTGCCTTGCCCTCTTCTTCTGGCTTTCCAAGGCCTCGGCTGTCCCCTGCTAACCCTAGTGGCTTGTCTTTAGGGAGTCAGAAAGGGGCCATTTCTAGTCAGTCCAGGGACCTTGTCCTAGACCTACCCACGCTGACCCTGCCCAGCACACACCGAGGGCCATCAGCCTTGTGGAAAGGGACGTGCGCAAATAAACTGCTTTCCTGTCTCAGTAGTGTTACTTGGTTATTTACCTACACGTAGGCCGGTGCCCCAGTAGAGCAGACAATCCAACACACACATAGCCTCTACTCAAGGTGTCACAAAACACAGGTCACCAACAACGTGGAACCAGGAATAGAGAACAGGCTCCTGAGTCAGGAGCCAAACTCAGCAGGAAGGCTTTCCCCAGGCTTCCTTGTGCCTGCAGCGGGGGGATGAACTCAGCATCTTGTACCCTTCAGTGGCTTTCTCTCTCAAGGCTGGTGCTCTTACCACTTGAGCCACAGCTCCTTTTGTTGGCTTGAACTCTGGGCCTGGGCGCTGTCCCTCAGCAATTGCCACTTCCAGTTTTCTAGTGGTTTATTGGAGGTAAGAGGCTCATGGAATCGAGCGCTGGTGGCTCACGCCTGTAATCCTACTCAGGAGGCTGAGATCTGAGGATCGCAGTTCAAAGCCAGCCTGGGCAGGAAAGTCCGAGAGACTCTTATCTCCAATAAACCACTAGAAAACCAGAAGTGGCACTGTGGCTCAAGCAGTAGAGTGCTTGCCTTGAGCTGAAGAGCACAGGGACAAGCACCCAAGCTGAGTTCAAGCCCCATGACCGACCCTCCCCCCCCAAAAAAAAAAGTGTCATAGACTTTCCTGCCCTGGCTGACTAGGAACCATGATCCTCAAATCTCAGCCTCCTGAGTAGCTAGGATTACAGGCGTGAACCACCGGCGCAAATCTTAATTCACAGATTTCTTTTTGCCTGGTATGGCTTTGAACTTGGATCCTCAGATCTCATTCGCCCAAGTGGCTAGGATTATAGGTGTGAGCCACCAGCACTTGGCCCCAATTTTCTTAAGATGAACTGTTTGTCCAGGAAGGGCAATGCTTCTGCCAGCACAGGGCACGAGGCACAGGGCTGGCTGCTGGAAAGCTCGGTGGCGTGGAGCGGGCCATCCCTCTTCAGGCTCAAGCTCAGGGTCGCTGTTCTGTGCTGCTGAGAAACTCAGCACCAGTCCTGCCAAGCAGACTGGATGGACAAGGAAGAGGCCAAGGGAAGGCAGCTCACCCAGAGGGAGGACCTAAGAAGAGACAGCAGAAGAGAAGAGCTAGAGATGAGGGGAATTCAGGAGAGCAGAGGTCAGAGGTAAAAAAGGGAAGACACAGCCACACACACAGTCTGGTTTATTGGCTCATCATACACGCACACCAAATATGTACACAAACATAAATATTCCAATGTACAAATTTTACAAGGGACTCAAAGATCGCCCCCTTTTCTCTTTCATCCAGTACCCCTGTCCTGGCCCTTCCTTCCCCATTGTAGAATGAAGACTTGTGGGGGCTGGCGCTAGGAGGTAGGGGTTTGGAGGAGGGAGAGGTCCTGCCCCCCTCTCCTCACAGGCACCTCCAAAGGGTCCTGTCCCTTCTCAACGGCACCCTGGGGCAGAGGGCTAGCAACATGCTTCCCCGGCTGCAGCCGGTCCCACGGTTCCCTTTTCCTCTCCTCCCCCGCTGCCTCTCCTCCTTCCTGTCACTGCATGGCCCAGCCTCTCTGGGTCTGTTTCTCTGGCGCCTGCAGTAGGAGGGTCACCAGGTCTCAGAGTCCTTCTGGCCCCTCTGCCCTCTTCCTGGCCCTCATAGGAGGCTAGGGCTGCGGTGTAGCTCAGCGGAGGAGTTGGTGCCATTGGCAGGCTCTCTGTTGGGAGTAGGTGCTAAGCCACAGCCTTCTACAGGGCAGCCATGCTGGATCAAGATGTCTGCACACTCCTGGCTGCCAGCCCGGCGGGCGTAGGCCAGTGGGGTCAGGCCTCGGGCATCCCGGCTCCTCACGTCCACCCCGTACTACAGGAGAAAGCACACGCTCACAGTTGGCATGGTGCGGAAGCCAGCCTTCAGCTGGGGCGGGGGGGGGGGGGGGGGGGGAGGGGGGGAGGAGGAGGAAAAGGCCAGGTAGCTCTCGCAGGCGGCCAGGCGAGGCCAGAGGGGCTGGACTCACCCAGATGAGCAGCTGTGTGAAGACCACATTGGCCATGGCGCTGGACAGGTGCAGCGCCGTCCGCCCGTCCCCGTCCCCGTACGTCTCGTTCACCTCCTCCTTGGAGCCGTGCGCTAGCAGCATCACCAGCAGCCGCAGGTCGTCCTCCACCACGGCCCGGAGCAGCTGCTGCCCCAGGGGCACGTCAGAGCTCGGCAGCGGGGCCAGGAAGAGCTTCTGCTCATACTTGGCCCGGATCCAGCGTTCCTTCTCCTCTCTGCAAGCACAGGTCCATGAAGGCATGAGACAGGGAAGGAAACTGAGGCATGCTTGGGATTGGGGGTGGGGGGCTAATCGGGAAGGACACAAATACCCAGGAGGCAGGGAACTGGAGAGGAGGCTGAGGCGTCACGGAGGGAAGGGAGGAGAGAGAAGCCCAGGGGGCTCGCGGGCACTCGGAAGCAGCAGGTCACACAAAGGAAGGGACACTGCGAGGGGAACCCCGCAGCAGGGACTTGAGGAACAGGAGGACAGGAGGTTGCAGACAAGTCTGAGCGGCAGCTTATCTGACTGTCAGAACGCTCCCCAGCTGACAGGGTTGCAACAAAGCGGGTGCGGGGCCACAGCGCCCCTATCTACCACCCATTCTCCCCATCTCCCCTGGCAGGCTGGGGGTCAGAGCCACACAGCGATAGGGACCCTGTGCATGCGCCTCCCACTGGCTCCTGACCTGCCGATGATAACGGCTCAGAAAGGGCCGTTGTGGCGCGGCTCCTGAGTGACAGGCACGGGCGCGGGAGGGGGACACCTCTAGGGGCCGACTAGCAAGCAGCGCAGCCGCTGGCGTTAACCCCTCTCACTCTGACACGGCCACAGAGTCCCGTTCCGTCTGTCCTGCCCACATCAGAGCCCTGGCTGGCGGGCTGGCACCAGGGACCGGGGGCCCATCCACTTACCTGCAGGCTTCGGGCCCTGGCTTTGCATAGCCATCCAGGGCTCCTTCCCAGACGCTGTTGGCCAGGGTGTTGCCCATGGCGGTCATGACAGCCAGCAGCTCGGGTGGCCAGTCATCGAGATCAAGCGAGCGGACCCGGGAGAGGTGTGCGCCCAGGTGCCGGTGGGTCCCCGAGCACTCGATGCACATGAGGGCACCCAGGTTCAGGCTGGCCCAGTCTGGATCTAGGCAAAGGGAAGAAGGTGACGTGGGTGGCCACTAGCAAGGGAGGCCTCCTCCGGGTGCTGTCCCCCACCCCCCGCACTCACTGGGGGCTTCGCAGTCGATGCAGAAGCTGTTGCCTCGGACAGTGCGCACGGCCTGCACGGCCAGGGCTGTGTTCTGGTTCCCTA